AAGAGAAGAAGAGAAGAAGAGAAGAAGAGAAGAAGAGAAGAAGAGAAGAAGAGAATAGAGACAACGGCGCAGGCCATAGCCATGACAAGGCAAGGAGAGACGAGAGGCAGAAACGTCAGATCATCCAATAGACCGCAGGATTGAAATCCTAGTAAATCAGAGAACGAACGAGGTAAAATTGAGAGATCAAGCCATGGTGTTCACTACCAGACCCAGCCAGTCGGCAGGATCGATGCGCTGGGTCGGATCCTTAGCAATGGCAGGCTTGACAATTTGCTCGACTATGCCCTTTCTCGGAATGCGAGCGCCACTCTGGCCTGAGCGTGCAAAGTCGATGACTTGGTGTCCTTCACGGGCCATGGCAAGACGCTGCATGCTGCTTGTGCCCGGGTAGAGTAAGAGATCTCCCGTCGCGGCTGCCAGGAGGGTCACTGCGAGCGAGAAGACGTCTGACGCTGGAGTCGGGACGACGTCGGGGGACTTGAGCGCCGAGATGGACAGGAGTTCGGGGGCGGTGAATGGGGGCGTCAGGGCTGTCAGGGCGGTGCCCTCGGTTGCGGAGGTGCAGTCGCCGATGTGGTGCGCAGAGGAAAAGTCTGCGAAGAGCGGCTCAAAGGGGAACTCGTCGGAATCCGAGTCGTTGGCAATAGGGCGGGGGCGCAATAGGAAGTTGTAAGGTTTAATATCACCATGGACCATTCGAGCGCCGTTATGGAGCCAATCGAGTCCCGCGACAAGCTTCTTCGCGAGACCGTGCCATTCGGCCATGCCTTGAACGGGGTCAAACATCGTGCTGGTGGACATGTGCTTCTTGGCTGCACTAGCCTTTTCTTCAATGTAGGCTGAGAGAGCAAGCGGCACGGCGCCCATGACGATGGCATGGGAATCGGCAATGTAGCCGTGGAATGGTACGATATGGTCCTCGCAACCAGGAACCATGCTCAAACGGGTCAGCGCTAGGGCCTCGGCGTCAAGCACTGGGGGCGCATCGCGTCGCCCAGGCATTTTGACGGCCACCACGCGGCTTCCTGATGCGGGCGAACTTGGAGGGCTCAGTGCAGCTGGGGCGGAAGATGCGCGGGAGGATGCCATGTAAACGACGCTCCAAACGCCACGGCCAAACTCGAACTTGCGGCCCTTGGAGTCATAATGGAACTCCAATTCGTCGGAAAACTTGCGTGGCGAGGTTACAGTCTGAAGGTCAGATGGTAAGATGCCATGCAGCTGTCTTCCTGAAAAGGACACAGGAGATACTGAGCGACTGGGTGTGTTGACTCCGGGCGAACTGCTGTCATGACCGATAGTTGGGGTGATTGGAGGGGTTGGCTGTGACCCTTTGGGAAGCTGGGGGTGCTTGCCGTCTTGGGTGCCAGTGTGGACCGAAAGACGAATCGGTATATTAGGTGCCGCCATGATGAATAGTACTTTTAATGCGCCTGCGGTAGGGTCGGCTTGATTGTGCTGCAGTAGTTGGACAGTACGCGCAAAGCCTGGTCACTCGGTTATGATGAAATGCCACTTGAAGGGCCAAAGAATGCGATAAAACGTCGTCACTGATCTTCAAATATGTCGTGTATATAGCTCACAATGTGAAAAAGTAAATGCTGATATAAGTAGCTGATATGGGGAGGCGATTGGTGATAATGGTGGAAAATGCGTTGGATTACTTCATGTGAACGCTATATGCGACAGGAATTATATAGATGTCTGACGCAATAAGCGAGTAAGTAATAGGCAGACAGGCGGACAACCAAGGCGCATACTCTGGATTAAGCGACGAGACGAACGAACACCATCTATGGATCTATAGAGGCCACGAGTCTGGGGAACGAGTATTTAAAAATGATATGAGTGGCAATGCGTGTGACGCGGGTGACAGAGGAACCGCGTGGTAGGATCCAGGCCCAGACGGAGACGGGTGGTCAGAGGAAACTAGGAGCGGAAGAAGACAAAGTGAGGGAGAGACGAAAGCGACGAAAAACCGAAAACATGATGGAAGATTGCTGCAAGAGGAATAAGTCGAGGGAAGGAAAGGAAGGAAGGACGAGATGAGGGGCGAGTGAAGATAGAAAAGAAAAAAAAAAAATATAAAGAAAGAAAAAGCAACGGTCTCGACCAGGGAAAATCGAGTCACAAAAAAGTGGGAAAAGTTCGGGGATCGACGAGGAGCTTAATTGACAATGTTAACTCTGAGAGATGGAGGACGATGGATGACACCAAGGAATATACTATTTAGTCCATCACCATCTAGAAGAACGAGGAGGATTCGGAGGAATACGACGACTATTGATATTCATTTACTACTGTTACACTTGGAGTCAGCCACACGGAGTACAGGAAGTAGTTAGATACTTATTCGGTAGTTTTATTGCTTTAGGCAAGGTAGCACTGCCCGGCTATCACAAAGGGTTACAGTGACATGACTCCTGTTTAGTAGACTGAAATTAAATATGATCAGTCCTCTTCATCTTGTTGTTCGCCCAAAGACTTTCAGCTTGAGAACCCTCTCATCCTGTCTATCTATAGAGGCAGACAGTCAGACTATACTGATGCTGGAAATGAGTCCCTGAACGACTACTTTGCCTTTTGCATCTTCGAGATTACCCAATTCGGTTTCCCTCTGTCGTAATGGTATGGTAAGTAATAATTTATCGCGAACAGGGTCTTGCCTGCCTTAGTTTTCGGCGCTTCTGCAGTTCCCAGATACGGCCACTAAACGCAAACAGGTTTAGTCGGGCCCTCAATTGATCCGGTTGACCCAATAGGGCAATCCGGTGGGTATTGGTTCGTCTCCGCTCGGACGCCACGAAATTACCCGGAAGCGCCCAAACGGCTGTCATTTCCGCGTCACAGAAGAGCATTAGTTAGGTAATCTTACAGACAGAGAACGACCTCAGGACAGGGATAGGTCTGATAGAGCATTCGACCCGAGGATAATAATAGTTCTTTTCGGAAACCGATAGTCGTATCCCGATCTTAGTTCACTCTTCATTTCGTGTCCAAGAGGCCCTTGCCTCTTTGTAACTTTGATCTATCCTCGCGACAAGTTCGTAGCCAATCTCCACCCCCACGTGTGAGAGGCTCACTCTCAGCCACGGAAATTTACCGACTATTGAGACTTTTGCAGAGTGAGAGATTCTGTCCTTGACTCCACATTTTACGCAAGTCAGGAGCTGATCCTTGCTCGAGAAAGAATTAAGGACACCCATTAACCCTGCACTAAGCCTCAACAGTCTCCAAAGCCTCCGATTGCCTTCGAATCAAGTTTGAACTGCAGTGCGCAACGTCATCGCCGATATCTTCTGATTCTAGTATGTAACTAAGACGTATTGCGCTTCGGAATTACTCCGGCCTCACTACGGTAGGTTCAGCCTTGTACTTGATAAATTGCGGAGATATTTTTCAACCTCTCAAATTCCGGGCTATGACCATATCTCCAAATGTTAACTGTCATAGATCTGTGATTCGTTGAAATTAACTCATGCAGTCCTCATGGTCGACGCGGGGTAAGAGCCTGCAATAGCAATTTAAATAGCTGTCTAGCCGCTCAGGATTGTTAAATATAGCTCTAGGAGGGTATATGTGTCTTTGATATCGTAAAAATACGAGCCTCAGGAAACCAAGGAGTCATCATATCAGCTTCCCTGAAGTCGATTCCTGTTACGCGAACATCCGCAGGAAAATATGTTTGTTTTCTTGTGCAATGGTTCCACTGCATCACCGTTTAGCCGAGCGGCATCAAGATACCCAAGCAAGTGATAGATCTGGAACAGCTGATGCACGAATTCAACATTCCCCAGTCTCTTGATCATGTCCTGCATGTCAGCCGTCTGAGAACCCCGTCCAACCAGTTTAGATTCCGGAAACCCCGGCTACAACCTGTCGATCACCCTTTGCATCACCTCGCAGTTGTCACGCATTCAATCCTTCATCCCGCATAATCAAGCTCCTGATGACTTCCCCTCAACATACCCTTTCAAATCCCGTACCCAAATCTCAAAGTTCTCCTTCAAGCGACCCCCGAACATCCACCGCACGATATACGCCAAATAACCAACCTGGGCCTCCCAATTGCGAACCGCCGTCCCCCGTCTCATCTGCTCATCTTCTCCTGGAACCTCTACCTCCACAATCTCGTGTACCCTTTCTGCCGTCAGCAGCGACGCAGGAAATCCGCCCTTGGCATCGGGGTCACTGGCCCACACAATCCGCCCGGGTTTCTTGGCGCTGGGATTCGGTGGCTCAAACTCGATGACTGTAAGCTGGGTATCGTTTACCTTTTGCGGTTTAGTCGACGAGGGATACATGTGTACGTGGAAGGTCATTTTGGTTCCCTTCTGTAGGATCGGGGAGAGGGAATCGGGGGAGGCATCGGGGGTGTCTGGTTGTGCGCGGATGGTGACGTGGGGTACGAAGGTGTTCCATGTTGGCCAGGTGGAGGTGTCGATTAGGGCGTTCCAGACATCTTGCGAGGGTGCGTCGATGTGTGTAGCACTGCTGAGGTGGAGGACGGCGTTGGACGCGGAGATGTTGGGGGTCGAGTTGGAGCTGAGGGATGGGGATGTAGTCATAGACGTAGATGTCATGATGATTGATCAAGTAGATGTAGTAGCCTAAATGTGAGTACCAATAGGTTGGTGGTTCGAGCTGTCTTGCTAGAATTGCCCGGGGTGATAGTTGTCGATGTTTATCTAGATCACGATGGCCCACAGTCTCCACATAAGCTTGAGTTTAGCAGGTCAGGTGAATGGTAAGAGCCTGAGGCTGCAAGGCCATCAGCGTTAATCTGCCAACTCCAGATCCCAAGACTCAAAGCAGATCCTATTTGGAAATCTTCATCTCGCAATGATATAACCTCGGCTAGCCAATTAGGTACTGTCAACTATGGAGTAGCCCGTGTCATCCCCAGTCTCCGTCCTAATTCCTCCACCAATGCGATGACTTATGACCCCCTACTAAGCATCCATCTTGGCTCTGATCAGCTCTATACGGGTGGAGCTCAAATTTCCGTCCATACAGTTTATTTAACTTTGGAGTTTCTCCGTGCAATAGTACTCCGTAACTCCTGAAGGTCCTGCTCGATGGAGCTATCCTGATAGAAACTATTTAAACTTACCGAGTTGTGCGTCCATGGTATGTGCCCCAGCAACTGCTTTTCTACTCAGTAACTTCAACATGCTGATTACCAACCCAGCTCTTCTGGGCATTCTTGCCTCTCTTGTCCCGCTAGCTTTGGGAGCTTCCAGTCAATCGATACAAGCTCGCTCGAGAAAATGTGTGATTCCTTCAAGCTACGCATCCTCTCAGGGAACCGCCGATGATTCCCCTGCCGTCGCCAGCGCCTTTGCCCAATGCGCAGAGAATTCGGTCATCGTCTTCCAGGAGGGCGTTGACTACAATATCTTCCACCCGATCAAAGCGACCAATCTCAGCAATGTCGAGATTCGAGTGCTGGGGAACCTACATCTTCCCCAGAACATTACCGCCGTACAGAACATCGTCAAATCCGGCCAAAATACCTGGTTCACGTTCCAGGGGCCGCGCGTCGACTGGACGGGAGCCGACGACATCAACAATGGCTGGATAAACTCGTACGGCCAGGCCTGGTGGGACGCAAACCCAGCCAACAGCAGCAGTTTCCCGAACCGGCCGCACCTGATGAGCTACAAGACGAGCCAGGCGTCAATCAAGAACTTCCGCTCGGGCAAGCCCATCGCGTGGAACGTCAAGCTACAAGGCGACGACATCACCGTCACCCACGCCATCGTCGACGCCAAATCGACGGGCGGCTTCCCCTTTAACACCGACGGCTTCGACGTCGAGGGGACCAACATCAGAATCACCGACAGCATCATGTACAACGGCGACGATGCCATCGCCGTCAACTCCCCTTCGCACAACATCGTCTTCGCCCGCAACACCATCGGCTACCAGTCGCACGGCATGAGCATCGGCTCGCTGGGCAAAGACCCCACCGACTTCGCCAACATCACCAACCTCCGCTTCGAGGACGTCACCGTCATCGACGCGCTGTACGCCGCCCGCTTCAAGTCCTGGTCCGGCGGCAAGGGCCTCGTCAAGAACGTCGTCTGGAAGAACATCCGCGTCAAGAACGTCACGTTCCCCATATTCGTCACCCAGAGCTACTGGGACCAGAGCGCCTCGCGGTCGGGCACCATCGACCCCTCCTCATCCGTCATGATGGAGGACTTCACCTGGTCCGATTTCTCGGGCTCCATCAACACCTACCACCCCGGTGATGGATCGTGCGTTACCAATCCGTGCTGGTACAATGCCGGTCTGCCGAACCTGAAGCATACCGAGGCCATTGTGCTCGAGTGCAACACCGAGTCCTCTTGCAAGAACTTCAGGACAGAGAATATCCGGCTTTACCCGCAGAGTAAGGACTCGCCTAGCGTTATTTGCATGAAGGCTACAGCGGAGCTGAATCCCAAACTTGGGTTCGAGTGTAAGAATGGTACCTTTCTGCCTCAGTGATTTGGTCGAGCATTTATGTATGTACCTGAGCATAGACAACATGTACCACGCATCTTTTATATTCTCCAGTATAAATAATTATCCCTCTCGTCCAGTATGGACTTATAACATCTCCACACCAAGTCTATAAACTTTGCAAACCTACAAAGAGATATCTATATAGAGTCCCTTCTTTGAAACCAGTGAGTAAAATCATGCAATCACCCAGCAAACCCCGAATCCCGCCTTTGCTTTTTCGCACTTTCCTTCTCAGTGCTACTCCCGGATCTTCTCTCCGCATGATCCAGATCCCACCTCAACTCCCTAACCACCTGGATCCCATCCGTATCCTGCAACTCGTCCCCATTGACTGAGCAATTCCCCGTGATGCTAGCCGAGTAATTCCCACTCGTCGCAGCGAACGGGTTATTACGGTGGAACGAGTAGACAGAGGGCAGATCCTTTTCGCGTTGACGTTGGCGTTCGCTGTCGCGCGGGCGCGGGCGCGAAGAGAGCAGGCGCGGGCAGATGCGGATGAGGAGGGGTTGGATCGGCGGTAGGCAGGTGCAGATGATGGCGATGTTGGCTTCGATGGAGGACCAGGTTGCTGCTGGGCCGTTGCGCTCTTATGATCTTGTCAGTCTTGTGGCGCATAGATATGGGGGATGCAATGTTACCAGAGAAGTCGTCGCTGTCGCCGCTGACGAGCTGGATGATTCTAACAAGACGGATGATGCTCATTGCGCAGACACTGGAGGCGTTAGTATATGATTAGAAGATGGAGGGGAAGGGAAAGACGTACAAGAATCCCAGGGCGAATACTAGAATCAGGGCGAACTTTTGTCTGGTTGGTAGGCGCAGCCGTGCGAGCGTGGGTATCGGGGTCGTGACGACGACTAAATCCGTTACGATCTGCAGCGCGGCATTGAGACACCAGACTACCGCGAAGGAGCGACATGTGGCTGGAACGGAGTGGTCCCAGAACCCGCGGACTGGGAGGCATATTAAAATAGTGCCGAAGAGGGTCCATAGGCCGACAATGACTATGAAGACGAGAAAGACGATAAGAAGGATTCGGAAGCGTTTGTTCGTGGAAGCGAAGAGACGCATATACAGCAGGATCATGGAGATTTTGGCCAGTGTAAGGGTGAGATTATAAAATGGGATGGACAGCCAGAGGGCCTGCCAGTAGAGTTAGCTATCATGGCCTCACTTCAAGTGTGAAGTACGTACGTACCTTGAGCTGAGTTCGCATAACATGCTCGCTGAGTGTATCTTGTTTCTCTCCCAAGTGGTGTCGAAGTTCTACTCCGGGATAAGTTTCAGCCACGAGCTCTCACAAGCCGGCGACTTACCTATGATCAGACATGCATAGAAGACATAGTTCGTTCCCTAGCTTCGTCAACCAGTCGTGCTCTGGCTTCAATCAAGACCGTTCCAGGAGCTTACCACTGCCGCAACAATCAATGCATCGTCCCAACCTGGTGTTCGAACAATCCCAAACCGAGTGTACAACCGCAGGGCAACCGTCAAGGTCGACAGTACTAAGAGTGCAGTGGTAACGCCCAATATTCGCGCGGTCATGTTCAAGAGTGAAGGGAGTCGCCGTGAAGAGGCGACAGCATCTTCGACAGCACTCAGTCTTCAATTGATGAGAGTAGCTGCTGCTCCATACTCTTAGAACATCTTGCAAACTTATCTGCCTGATGTTACTGAGTTGAATGTGAGATATGTCGATGTGGCCAAGTGCTTATTAAGACCTCATTGGAATGTGACTCTATTGCGTCAGCACAAACTCTGCCCGCATCTGGATCGTTCAATCCTACCACGAAACATTAGCACATGGTGGGCCTTCCACAACGCACGATTTTGACTGGTATAATGAAACTTGCTTTGTCCCAATGCGCTATGGGTGGCGGCTCAAATTCCTGCATCGAATGGCCCCTACATACCAATCCCGAAACATCCCCGGCGTGACCCCAGTATTTCCCAATCAGGCATGAGGGTCCCTTGCTGATCCTCCACTCACTTCTGGAGGGAGTTAGGTGGGTCAAGGAAGTAGAAGCGCTAATCGAACCAATGGGCGCTGGTTTTCGAAAAGTATAATGAGGAGCAATCCGACACGTGAAGAATAATGTCGATTGTCGAGAGACAAGACCCTTACATCTTGCCTCTTTGAGTGGGGCTGCGAGTCTGCGACATTAAGCACAACACAGCATGCCTCACGAAGCTTCAACATCAACAAAAAAGCTGGTCTGCTGCAAGTATTCTCGAACGAGGCAACCGAATCTATCCAAAAATAATTTTTATATTGCGGCTATTCCAGAAAAGCCTTCCATGCTGAAAATGGTATTTTAAGTACAATCAATGCAAATCAGAGAATAGAACAAATCGAATCAGCTAAAACGCTTACAGTCTGGCCTTGAGGTTAGACTTGAGTCTGCGCTCAACAGCAGCCAAGTACTCCTTGGTGGTAACCCAGGCCTCACGCTCCTTGCGGCCGCAGGCCAGAGCCAGGTCCTTGGTCATGATGCCCTCCTCGTTGACGACGTCAATGCAGGCGCGCTCCAGCTCTTCGGCGAAGGCGACGACGTCGGGCGTCTCGTCCAGCTTGCCACGCTGGACCAGACCACGGGTCCAGGCGAAGATAGAGGCAATGGGGTTGGTGGAGGTCTCACGGCCCTTCTGGTGCTCACGGTAGTGACGAGTGACAGTGCCGTGGGCGGCCTCGGACTCGAAGGCGCTACCATCAGGGGTGGTCAGGGTGGAGGTCATTAGGCCAAGGGAGCCGAAACCCTGAGCGACAATATCGGACTGAACATCACCGTCGTAGTCTTCACACGTCAATCAGCAAAAGACATTCATGATGGAAAGACACCAGGGTGAACTCACTCTTCAGAGCCATAACGAAACCACCCTCGCTCTTGATCATCTGAGCAACCATGTCGTCAATGAGACGGTGCTCATACCAGATGCCCTTGGCGTCAAACTCCTTCTTGTAAGTAGACTCGTAGATCTCCTGGAAGATATCCTTGAAGCGGCCATCGTACTTCTTCAGGATGGTGTTCTTGGTGCTCATGTACAGGGGCAGACCCTTCATCAGGGCCATCTTGAAGCTGGAGTGAGCGAAGCCACGGATGGAATCATCGGTGTTGTACTGGGTCTGGGCAACACCGCCGCCAGTGAACTCGTAGACCTTGATGGCCTGGGGCTCACCGTTCTCGGGGGTGTAGACGAGCTCGAGCTTACCGGGCCCAGGGACGACAATGTCGGTAGCACGATACTGGTCACCGAAGGCGTGACGACCAATGATGATGGGCTTGTTCCAGCCGGGAACAAGACGAGGAATACGGGGAATGACGATGGGTTCACGGAAGACCGTTCCACCGCTACAATGGATTAGCATTTGACTGGAAGGAGTACCAGTAGGTTGCGGACAGCATACAGAATGTTTCTGATGGTACCGTTGGGAGACAGCCACACTTGAGAAAGTAGTTAGAGAATGGTTCAAACGAAGTGAGGCTGCAGGGCTTACTCTTCTTCAGCTTGAACTCCTCGACACGGGCCTCATCGGGGGTGATGGTGGCGCATTTGACACCAACACCATACTTCTTAATGGCCTCAGCAGCCTCGACGGTGACCTTGTCATCGGTCTGGTCACGGTATTCAATACCCTGGAGCGAGTTAGCATGGAGGCCTTCTATTACCGAATATAAGAGTATATCATACCAAGTCGTAGTACTTGAGGTCAATGTCAAGGTAACTAATCCAGAATCTCAGTTCACATCCCGCTGGCAGTCCGCCGAAGACAGTCGACAGGACAGACTTACGGAAGGATCAACTTTAAAGAGACAATAAGTTAGTGACATAAGTCTTAGCTTCACAGGAAGAAAAGGTGACTGATCGCAATGCTTCGGAGAAGAACGGCCCGCATGCAGGTAGAGCTGGCAGCGGCAGCGGGGAGGAAGGGGACGAAGAACTTACTTTTTCTCTAATCTCCTGCCAGATGATACGGGTCATCTAGAATAGTTGAAACACCCATTGTTAGCCCACATATCCATCAAACAAACAACATGTGAATCGAATGAGCATTGTTTGGTATGAGTCAATAATCCTCGGAAGATTGACAGCTTTGTCCAGGTACAACAGGCGCAGTCCGCCGTTTTTCCCCGCGTTCTCGCAGACTATGACGAAAATGCACGTCCGACGCGCTTGTGACAGTGAAACCAGCAAAGGTTATATAAAGAACGGGGAGGCAAGCGATCTAGCTGAAGATCGAATTCGAATTTCAAATCCGATGAGAGAAAACCTACCTCATCACCATCCAGTTCAACGACTGGGTTCTTGACCTTGATCTTGGTACCTTCGGTGGCCATATTGCGCGATTGGGTCAAACGAAACGAGGTTACTCCGGACCGGCGGGAAGAAGCAGAGAGCGAGGACGAAGCAAGAGTACGCTGAGGGCGAGCTACAGCAGCAGAGGTAGAGAAGGAAGAAGAGGAGGACGAGGAGACAGAAGAAGTAGAAGAAAGGGAAGAAAAGCGAACAGCGGAGGAATAGAGAGGGGCAGATCGAGGAGGGGCGCAGGCGTGGAGGGAGCGTCGCGCAAAAGCGGAACTGAGACGGAGGGAGCTCATATCGATCTGGGATTAGGGAAATTGCAATATAACACTCTCGCGCGCCTGTCCTCGCTGGTTCTACGTCTCGGCCCTATTGGAAACGAAGACTGTGGCGTGGATATTGGTCGGCTCAAGGCGGTTCGCAAATCGGTACTTCCGCTTCGCTTCTAAGGGGAAAACCAGGTTGCGTCAGTCAGCCAAGCGTGGACTTTGCAGGCTCACAAGCTCGCAGTACCCGAGGGAATAGCAAGAAGAGGCTCGGCTGGAAGGAGGACAGTGGAGTCGGAAGCAGCCGTCAAGCCGGAGAAGATGGTCAGGGAACAAGCATAACTACTTACTGATTCAAGAGCTCTCACTTGCTAAATTTCTGGGGCAACACGGGGCAGAACGGACCGCCCGGAAAATCGCTTAACGTTGATGATAGTAATAGTATGGAGGGTGGGAGGAAAGATTTGGGGGACGTCCAAGTGAAGAAATCCGGTCCAAAAGGATGAAGGAGAAAGTGTCCTCTTATCCCAGGAGGAAAAGTCTTTGTCCGGTTGCTTTATGACTGATTTCTTTTGCTCCTCACGTCCTTCAAGTGATCTGAATTAGTTGTTTTGTTGACCTTCTTTTCCTTAGCAGGACTTGGAACTCCGCTCAAAGCGCCGAAGCCGGACATTTCGAATGAACCACTGACCATGAACCCACGGACACTACTCCATATCTACCTACACTAATGTTCTTGATCCTGATTTTCTAACTAACACAGAATGATCATGTCATCCAGTTTTAATACTAAGGTGCTCCATATATTGTTTCCAATTAATACTGCTCCCTTTTGTCCCTCTGAAATGACAGGTGTACATCAGAAATAACCTCGGTTTCCCGCGGCAACGGATGCCGTAATATACTACGTACCGCCGGAAAGCGATACACCGAGATCGCCTATATGCGGATCTTTTGGTACAGCATGGAGTGAAATTGGCTTCGGTGAGAGATTCAAGTTATCAAGTGATAATATCGATGATTAATTACCCGAGTCGATTATTATCAGTCTCCCAGATACGGCGCACGTTGGGTGGGAATTTTTGTCTGTCATTTCTATGATATTTACTATCTAGCTCTGTCCCATGTATCGGGGAGGTTATGACCAACTCCGAGTCCCCGCATCTTATTTCTATCCAGTATGTTGAAGACCACCAGCATCTAGACACAACCATCCAATCCAATGTCGTCATGCTCATACATGTTGAATTAAAGTGTACATCAAAATCGATAATATGGTATAAAACCGGAGGAGATAAATATCACTCCGAGAACGAGAAAAGCGCTGAACATCAAGGGACGATCTCATCAGCCTAAAACAGGCCATCAATATCCCCGGTTTCGGTGTCGATATCAACGTTCAGATAACCCGGAGCAGTCGGCAATCCGGGGATAGTCTGAATGTCTGCCGCAAGTGCGTAACTGTGTGGGTTCATCCACTGGTTAGCCGATTGATCCGCTGGAGCCATGTGGTAAAATAAGCACTTACAGATATCCACCTCCAACCGCCAGCCGAACATCACGGATCGGAACTGTAAAGCCCGTTGGGGCGCCCTTGAGCGCGGGATCATGACTCAAGGAGTACTGGGTCTTGGCAATGCAGATCGGAAGATTGGAGAAGCCTTGTGCCGTGTACGTGTCGACCTTCTTCTGCGCTAGCTCGCTGAACTCGACCTTCTCCGCACCGTACATGGCCTTTCCAATGCGCTCAATGCGCTCCTGGATGCTGCCCTCCAAGTCGTACAGGAGCTTGAAGTCCTTGGGCTTGGAGCTAGCTGCCAACACTCCCTTGGCAAGGTCAACGGCTCCGGCACCTCCCTCGGCCCAGTGATTGGCTGGGATGGCATCCTCCGCACCGGCAGCAATAGCCTCCTCGCGGACGATTGCGATTTCGGCTTCCGTGTCGGTCTCAAACCGATTGATGGCGACAACCACCGGCACTCCGTACATCTTGGCGTTCTGGATGTGCTTCTTGAGGTTCACACAGCCCTTGCGGAGAATCTCGGTGTTCTCAGTGCGATAAATCTCGTGGAGCGGCGCTCCAGGGCTGATCTCTGGCCCACCACCGTGAACCTTCAGAGCCCGGACGGTGGCAACAATGACCACACAGTCTGGGGAGAGGCCAGAAGAGCGACACTTGATGTTAAAGAAACGCTCACCTCCCATGGTGAAGTCGAAACCGGCTTCAGTAACCACGAAACCAGTCTTAGCCTCGTGATCCTCATCCGGTTCCGTACCCGCAAGCTTCAGCGCCAATTTATCGGCGATGATAGAGCTGGCACCAATACTGATGTTGGCGAAGGGACCGGCGTGGACCAGCACTGGAGTTCCCTCCAAGCTCTGCATCAGGTTGGGCTTGATAGCATCCTTCATCAGGGCGGCCAAAGCTCCTCCGGCGCCAATATCGTCGCAAGTCACGGGGTCCCCGCTCTTAGAGGTGGCAACGACCATGCGTCCCAATCTCTCGCGCATGTCTTCGAGACTGTTGCTCAACGCAAGGATGGCCATACATTCACTGGCCACGGAGATATCAAAGCCCGTCTCGCGTGACAGACCCTTTTCAGTAGGAGCCTGTCCGACGGTAATGCCTCGGAGATGACGATCATTGACATCCAACACACGGCGCCAGGTGATTGTCTGCGGATCAATGTCAAGACGCGCGAAACGACGGATTTCTTCCTCGGTGAGATCGTCAGGGTTCGTTTTACTGATGCCAAGCTTCTTGAGTCTCCTGAACATGATGGGCTGGAATTCGCGCTTGCCCTTTTTGACAGGGACCAGTCGCTTGTAAAGAGCAGCATCCTTCTGGGTAGCTTCATGGAACATGCGAGTTTCAATGGCGGCAGCCAGAAGGTTGTTGGCAGCAGTGATCGCGTGGATATCACCGGTCAGATGGAGGTTGAACTCGTCCATGGGAATGACCTGGCTGTAGCCTCCACCGGCAGCGCCACCCTTGATACCAAAGGTGGGACCCTGACTCGGTTGGCGGACATTGGCAAATACGATCCGGTTCAGGTGTGCGCCCAGCGCTTGAGTAAGGCCGAGCGTAGTCGTGGACTTGCCCTCTCCAAGAGGCGTAGGAGTAATACCGCACACCAGGACATAACGTCCGTTGCGACGGTGAGCCAAGCGGTCCAGAACACTCAAACTGATCTTAGCCTTGGTGTGGCCGTATGGCTCCAGCTCGTGGGGAGCAATGCCAACCTCCGCGGCGACTTGAGTAATGGGCTTCGGGTACTGAGCACGGGAGATGGCAATGTCCGAAGGAACAGGCTGGACCAGCTTGATGGGAAGCGGCGTAACATGTCTGTCCCGCTGCTTCTCAAAGTATGCCTTGGCCGAAGTAACGACGTTCTTCAGCAGCATCGCAACTGTCATGGGACCGACACCTCCGGGAACCGGAGTGATCTGCGAAGCTACCTCTGCGGCGGACTCGAAGTCGACGTCTCCGACGAGGCGCTGTCCCGACTTCTTCGAAGGATCAGGCTTGTAATTAATGCCGACATCGATAACAACGGCACCAGGCTTCAGCCAGTCGCCCTTGACGAACTCTGCCTTTCCAATGGCTGCAACAACAATGTCGGCGTTCTTCACGATGCGGGGGATGTCCGGCGTCTTTGAGTGGCAGACAGTCACAGTGGCATCTGCATTCTTCAACAGGTAGCTGACAGGGCTACCGACGATGTCACTACGGCCAAGAACCACAGCCTCTTTGCCGGCGGGGTCTACTCCACTTGCCTTGAGGAGGTCCATAACAGCCAGCGGGGTGCAGGGAACGAAGAGGGGATGGCCACCTCGTTTGGCCAATTCTCCAATATTGATTGCGCCGAAACCGTCGACATCTTTTTCGTCCGCAACTGCAGATGTGACTGTATGTTCGGACAGGTGGCTAGGAAGGGGAAGTTGGACGAGGATGCCGTGCACCGAGGGATCGTTGTTAGCTTTTGTGATTTCCTGAAGGATCTCAGGCTGAGAGATCGATTCGGGAAAGTTGACAATCTTGCAGAGAATGTTCGCCTTTACAGACGTAGTGGATCAGTAAGGCTCCAAAGGCGTATAATCGGAGATTGCGAGATATATGTCCATACCTCTTCAGCGGCCTTCAATTTCATGCGCACATATGTGCCTTGAAGCAAATTAGAACAACCCTTATACCTAGGCGTTGAATGTCATCAAACTTACTCGAATCCGATCGATTGCCGACTGGAATTGAAGCAATGTCAGTACCTCCGCTGGGTCGGTTTCATGATGTCCGGCTAAACGTACCCTGGAAGATAACCAAACTCGGCTTGAACCGAGGATTGGACACTTGAATCTTTGCAATCTCGGCTTTCAATCCCTCTCTAATGCTCTTGGCAATGGCCGTGCCATCAATCTTTGTGGCCGCCATGACGGTAGATGTGCTGGAGAATGACCGACGGGAAAGTGATGATTTGGCAAAGGTCTTGGAACCGGAAAAGTCGACCACACGTCCAGCGAAGTAATGACGAGAAGTTCCAAGGACAGGAGAAGTCAAGGATGGGAAGATGTAAGACGAGCAAAGCTGACTGCGAACACGACAGGAGAAGATCTTCGAATTCACAGCACAGCGGGGTAATATCGCCGAACGAGCGGGGGGAAAGGGCATCGACTGCTGCTTGTTGGGGGCTTTAGGTGCAGCCCTCGGACGAGTGACAATAGGAGATTTCCGTCGGGAAAGCTATTGACAACTTAATCTCCACCTTGAAAGGGATTAATGGAGTGAGCCCTATAGATAATTACACAGTAAAAAACATTGAAGAAATCCAACGATAGGCTCATGTATACATTGATTATTGAGTTAAGTCAATGGACTTTCCAAATTTCTCCCATTTCTTGAGGGAAACAAGAAAAATCTCTTCTGAGTTTTGAGTCATTCCATGATATCTACCTTGGGAACTGTCCCGCTAGATCCTCACATGCAAATGCTTGACTCTGCCTTAGTAAAAAGGGTTATGTAAGATGCAGATGTGTTTTAACGCGATCAGGAATAGTAACTGGTACCTTAGGGCTGGTTTAGGTTAGAGGTGATAAGGGCTGACTGGATTGTCGAGAGCCTGAGGCAGACAGTGCTCGACTTCGGAATATCCTCAGTCCGGCAATTGTTTGCCTGAGGGGCAAACAACCTCGAATAGGCAAAGGTCTTGGCGCGCAACGCCTGACTGAACTGTGCGATCAAATTCACTAAGAATAATTAGTCGACGACGCCGACAAGGACAGCCCGCCAGCATTCCCCGCCTCAATAACGCAAGTACTGGACACTCCTGTTGCGGAGGACGTTTATTCAACTCTATTCTTTTTCCTTTACACCCGGACATTGTTTCTTCTGGCCCAAGATGAGGCCTATTCTGCTCTCGGGCCATGTACGTTGTGCCCTCAAATTTCCACCAGGATTTGCTTTGCCGCTTTTGTTGGACTAGCGACTGATATTTCATCTTTCTGCAGGAACGGTCCCTCAACCAGATTAAATTCAACCGCGATGGCGATCTCCTGTTCTCCGTGGCCAAGGATAAGATTGTATGTGCTTGGTGGTCGGCCAACGGCGAGCGACTTGGTACCTACACTGGCCACCAGGGTGCCATCTGGACGGTCGATGTCAGCCCCAACACAGTTCTCCTGGCGACCGGCTCGGCAGACAACACTGTGCGACTCTGGAACGTCAAGACTGGAGAGTGTGTGAAGGTCTGGGATTTCCCTACCGCTGTGAAGCGGGTCGCATTCAACCCCGATGGAAGCAGGCTACTGGCTGTGACAGAAAAGCGTATGGGATTCCTCGGTACGATCGCTGTGCTCGACATCAGTTATGGAGATGGTCAGGGTGGTAGTCTGGAGAACCAAGCCGATGAGCCTAGCTTGAGAATCACCTGCACAGAGAGCAAGGCCACCGTGGCTGGCTGGAGTTACCTGGGCAAGTACATCATTGCTGGACACGAAGACGGCAGTGTCAGCCAATACGATGGAAAGGTGGGCATATTCTGCTCCTGGAATTTGGAAAGCTATGCTAATTTGCGCGCAGACTGGTGAGCAGCTGGAGAACGTCCAGGCGCACGAGTTCGATCACCAGATCAACGACATCCAGTTCTCTCAGGACCGTACTTACTTCATCACTGCCTCCAAAGACAAGTCCGCCAAGGTTCGTTCTTATCTGTCCTGTCTGCCATCTGTTGTCAAAAGCTGACCATCGCTAGCTCATCTCCTCTCGTAACCTCGCCATCCTCAAAACATATGTCGCCGATACTCCCCTGAACAGCGCCACCATCACTCCCAAAAAGGACTACGTTATCCTCGGTGGTGGCCAGGCCGCCATGGATGTCACAACCACGTCCGCCCGGCAGGGTAAATTCGAGGCCCGTTTCTACCACAAGGTCTTCGAGGACGAGATTGGCCGTGTCAGAGGCCACTTCGGTCCCCTCAACACCGTTGACGTCCACCCCAACGGCACAGCATATGCCTCCGGTGGTGAGGACGGTTACGTTCGTGTGCATCACTTTGACAAGCCGTACTTTGATTTCATGTACGAGGTCGAGAGAGAGCAGCTGAGGAAGTGAATCGGATGATATCCACGAGCTCTTTGTTTTTCAAGTCATGCATCATCTGTATGAGTCATGAGACGAACGCTTTTTTGCTCATAAAAGAAGGAAAAGCCAGGCGCGGCGGAAATGGGTAGAAGACCTGGCGGGGTCAATACAGGGCATGATTTTCTCGTTCATCTACGGAGTTGGTACCTCTTTTACAATTATTCTTTCTTGTTCTCCATCATCATCCCACCTCGTCCTCTTGCCATCTTAATCAAAAGAATTGCCCTTTTGCTTCTTCCCGTCAGCTCTCCTTCACTGTCCATATTCACTTGAATTATGTGCCCAGGCGGAGGAAATACCCTCATCAGCAATACTATTGTTGTCCATTATTCGTTAGTGCCGATGGGTGCCTGATCTGGATGGCTTCAATACGTTGGCTTCTTTATGAGAATTGAGCATCTACCGTTCAGAAATATTTAGGATAGACTTTTCAACCGACTCTGGATTCTTCTTATCAACGTTGAAGCTCCTGTATGCCTCTCTATTGTGTAGGTGTGAGTGGCCATTCATATCCTCTAGATATGCCGGTCACACTTTCTGCCAATAAAGAATAGCACAAACAAATTGACTTTCAAGATTTTTCCTGGAGACCCTTGGATTTACTGCACCTTGGCCACATTTACCCTGGTAACGTCGGTTTGCCACCTCTGCTACTCCGGAGCAACCCAGTAACATTCCCAACGCACTGCAGTGCAGTAGAGGCCTTTGCAAGGCCGTGAAGCATTTGCCGTGTCGTTTCAGAAAGGTTGTCATTTTGGCTAACATTCGAATTATATTGTCGAAAGACGCCGCAGAGTAGGCGCCAATTCATCTATCGTTCTATATCCATGAGATATTCCATAGACAACCCGGCAAAGCCAACGCGCAAACTGAAAAGTATCCAACTTTGCAATCTCTAATTCCGTCGATGCCATGAGATCCTTCTTATGACGATGAATATCCAGAAACGAGGATAAAACGCAAAGGGAATCCGTAGAAGCGCCCGAAAAGCAAGTGGTATTTTTATGCCGCGATATATGAATCGTTTCAATGCCAGCCCAGCGCTCTTCCGACCAGCAGAAAACATAAGGATCATAAAAAGGACATAGGTTCTAACTGAAGAAGAAAGGCGTATCATGACACAAGAAAAAGGACATCAGGAAAAATCAAAAACTTAAGTTTTTCTCATCTTCCCTAAGAAAAAGGCGTGGGCTCACCCCCGTTTTACTTCTTCTTAGGGAACTTCTCCTTCCCGATGTCCGAGCCTCTGAGCTTGACATTGAGCACGCGCTCCATAGCGCTCAGCACCTTCTGGTCGGGCGTGGCCGTACCCCTCTCAAAGTCCTGGATGACTGTGATGGTGGTGTTGCACTTGGTGGCGAGTTCCTTCTGTGTCATCTTGTAGCCCTCCTCGTTTCGGCGCTTCTTGATGGCGTCTGCGACCTGGAGTCCGACGGTCTTGGGCTTGACGATGTCGTCGCTTCGGTCGACCTTTGTCAGGTGCTGACCTTCCATGGAGGCTGTCTTTCCGGCCTTGAGAGAGAAACGTTAGTAGGCGCTCAACATGGAGAGGGGGTGAATGCAGAACATACAGCATTGCCAATTGCGTACTTCTTCTCAGTAGCAACGACGAGACCCTGGCGCTGAGCAGCGTTCAGAGCGCTCTTTCCCCTGACTACTGTCTCTCGGGGAGCGGCACCAGCACGGTGCTTGGTTCCGATGCGTGTGACAGAATCCCATTCACTCATTTTGACAGGTGTGTAGTTCGAAGCGTATGGAGACTTGATGGAGGACGATGGTGGGAATCAGAGAGGTGTCCGAGGTGGTAGGGTAGAGGGTGGCGGAGAGACTGATCGCGTGAGGTTGTGACTGAGAAGGAGAGAGTCCACAGAGCCACCGAATTTATACTGATGACACAGAAGCTTCTCGAGCCCTGAGCGGCGCAGTTTAGAGGGGAGTCATGCACTATTCCTTTATGGGACTAGCGCTGCTGACATCATTACCACTCATTCGGAGTCCCAAAGAGGGTTGGAGATGCTGTGTAGATACTCCGCAGTCCAAGCCGAGTTAACATACATCTCCAAATCTGTAGTCACTAGTGACATGGCCATCATTTGGATATTATTGAAGAGTTTCTCTTCTTAGTTACGGGAGAGAGGGGATTGGGTGCAATCCCATTTAAAGTTTTCCTCTTTGCCTCATCTTGATCATTGATCGTACAATGGCCTTAACGCCACCATAAATAAGGAAAGTGTGTATGAAACGATGGTGAGGATGCAACCAAAACACTTGACGTAGCCCTCGTATTCTGTACACAACCGGGCAAAACTGGAATGGCAGGGAAAAAAGAAATCTAGCCTAACTGCCTCCGGGGAGGATCGAACTCCCGACCTTGAGATGTCCCAGAAGTGCTGCTTCTGATCATATAGGTATGAGACTCACGTGATAACCAACTACACCACAGAGGCGGCTATAGCGTACCCAATGCACCCATTCCATACAAGAGAGGGAACCCGATCAAAGCCTTGCTTAATCTGATAGGTGATTGTCAAGCACAGACAACATGTTTGAGCAGTAATGTCCATCAATGCTGTGCGTCATGATCAACATATTGTTATCAAAACCGATATTTTCATTAAGAATACCTAGAATAGGTGGAGCAAAAAATCCGCCTGAACGCCGTTCCCATGACTCAGGAAGAATCCATTCTCGAAACCCGAAAAAACTCGAAGGATTAACGCTAGAAGATACTATTCACAATGTTGGAGCCGATAGTAGCACCAGCACCAAAGATAGCTAAGACATAGTTAGTGACCGCAAACTCAAATCAATGGAGCCACAATCGACATACCGGCATTGCCCATCTTCTTTCCGAACTTCTTGCCATGCTCCTCGAACTTGCCGCCCGGTCGCTTTCCATCCGGGGCAGCTGCGCCGCTCTGGCTAACCTCAAGAGGTACATTGCCATAGTTGGTAGGAGGGGGAGACGACACTCCCTTCTCTTCTATTACGTTCACATAGCTGCGAGGGAAGATACCCTCAAGGTTGGTCC